GATGTATGGAAGTGAGAGCTGGACCATAAAGAAGGCTGACCGCCGAAGAATTGACGCTTTTGAATTGTGGTGCTGATGGAGGTTCTTGAGAGTCCCCTGGACTGCAAGGAGAGCAAACCTATCCATCTTGAAGAAAATCAACCCCGAGTGCTCGCTGGAAGGCCACATCCTGAAGCTGAGGCTCCAAGACTTTGGCCATCTCATGAGAAGAGAAGACTTCCTGGAAAAGACCCTGATGTTGGGAAAGTGTGAAGGCAAGAGGAGAAGGGGACGACAGGGGACGAGATGGCTGGACAGGGTCATCGAAGCGACCAACATGACTTTGACCCAGGTCTGGGAGGCAGTGGAAGGCAGGAGGGCCTGGCATGCTCTGGTCCATGGGGTCACGAAGAGTCGGACATGACTAAACTACTAAACAACAACAATCTCTCCAAAGGACTCTGTGGGAGTTTTACAACATGAAATAACAATAACAATCTGTCAAGGTAATGCATAATTAATTACATGACTAAAACTTTAAAATAAACAGAAAAGTACCACATCATTAGAAACGCAAAATACAGACATTTAAAAAGGTGACAATGGTGACATTAATAGCTACTAGTTTATCAAGAAGGTCCAGGATTGGGGAAATGGGTTGGTATTTGTTAGGTCCCTGGAGTATCCTGGCCACCACCCTCTGAACTTGCTAGAGTTTCTGCATCAGTCTCATGGGTAGCCCCACACAGAGCACGTTACAGTAGTCTAGTCTTAAGACTACCAGTGCCTGGACCAACATGGTAAGGGGCTCACATCATCCCAGGCATGGCAACGGAGGGTGCTGACCCCGAGGGAGGCCCCGAGGCAGAAGACTAGACACCTGGGCTTTCTCGCGTGGTGCGATCCTCCACTCTGGAATTGGTCACGCCTGCTGTTCGTTTGGCCCCTTCGTTGGGGGATTTTAAAGAAGCAACTGAAGAACTGGCTCTTCTGCAGGCATTTCAAACCATGTCATCTACTGAGCCATGGATAACAAAGCTAATAATCGAAAGCCACTATTTACCCCCAGCTTAAATGTTTAAATATTTTCAGAATGTATTTTAAATGGTCTGGTTTCAATTTTGTTATATTATTCTCATAGAGTTCTTTTGCATTTTATGATTTGATTCCTGTATACTGTTATTCTGTTATTTTGTGTCATCAGATGATCAGAGTGGCCCTCGGCCAGATGGGTTGTCCATAAATGGAATGAATGGATGGATGGATAGATGGATGGATGGATGGATGGATGGATGGATGGATGGATCGATGGATGGATGGATGGATGGATGGATGGAAGGATGGATGGATGGATGTCTCGAGACCTCTTTTCTGATCAAGGAGAAAATTGGTAGCTATTCATCCTCACATTGCCCGCAGAGTCTGCTTATGGTTGCTGTCCTCTGAAGATGCCGGCCACAGAGACTGGCGAAACGTTAGGAAGAACAACCTTCAGAACACAGCCAAGGAGCCCGAAAAACCCACAACAACCAGTCTGCTTATGTTCTGGCGGTCACAGAGGGAAACCATGGCTGGGAAACCCTGCTAGAATCTTCTACCTACCGATGACTCCCTCGAGGGCATTTTCGATGTCGGTGCCCATGCGGGAAGCTATGGGGCAGAAGAGCAGGATGGGGTGCTTCGAGGCGGTCTCCCTGAACTTCTCCACCTTCAGAGAGCAGGACAGGCACGCTGGCAGGTGCTTTGAGACCTCATTTACGAAATTCCATTCCCAGCCACCTGTGGCACCCGTGGTCTGGACGTAGATGATGAAGTCTGCAAAGGGGAAAGAAGCAGAAGGGGGGGAGGGACACAATTCCCACTAATATCTCAGACCTGAAGGAGAAACCGAGGGCAATCCTGGAGGCCACACTCTTCTTGGAAAAAACCCAGGCTGATGGTCAACTGCGGAGCCTCTCTTGTGGAAGAGACGCACACCGAGGTGGTCCTTGTGGTAAGATAGATGCCAGTAGCACCTTTTGCCTCTGAATTAAGAGGATGAGCCAGCTGCCCCATTGCTTGCACCCCATCCTTCTTGCTACTGTCCTCTTTCCTGGCTTCATCCTGCTGGCTCCGAGCAAAATC